GAAATGTAATTGCTGACTGCAAAATATGCATATATATATAATATATATATAGTGCCCCACGCTTTCTTTTAGCCATCTCGGTCCTCAACAGTGGGAGACCAGCTGGCAGGCTGACTCTTTATCAGGCAGAAGGCACCCACAGACTCTTTTCTTGGCCACTTCTGGCCGGGTTTTGGGACCTCCCCATTGTCCCCATGGGCACAGGCCCTGCCGTGCCCCATCTCCTCTCTGCGGTAAAGCAGGAGGCTAGAGATTGCTGTCCTGCCTGTCGGCCGCAGCCCAGGGGCTGGGCGCTGCTCCCCACAGCAGTGCTCCCCACACTCCCCACAGTACCAGAGGGCCCGGGCTGGCGACTCGGGACCCACTGAGGTCTGCCCTGCAGCTGCCCCAGGGTGGGTAAGATGGTCGCAGCTCTCTGGAGGCAGGAGGAGTGCTCAGGTGGCCCCCGTGGGGATGCCGAAGCCACGTTTTGCTGGGATCAGAGCCCCATCGTGTTGCGTTGAGCTGAGGGAAGGCAGAGACAGGGATGCTGGTGTGCGGGAATGGATGGCAGCCGAAAGCAGCCCAGCCCTCTGCTCTGGAGGAGAGAGTAACCCGCTTCGGGACAGCCAGATCCCCTGGTCTGCCGGGCAAGGCAGTGCCCCACGTGTGATCCCATAGCTGCTACCTCTAGTGACGTCTGCTGCCACAGCACTAGCAGCCGTGCGGGGGCCGTTCCCGCGCCAGATGCTCTGGAAGCACGACACGTTCCTTGTGCGAGCGCTGCACGAGTCTTAATGAGCCTTCCTGGCTCCGGGAGGGAGCGGAGGACACTCCCGGCAGGATGGAGAGGCGCAAGGAGGCAATTAAGGCAGCCCCCCGTTGCTAGGGCAGTGCGAATGATGGGGGCTTTGGAAGTGTCAGCTCCCAGGGGACAAAGTATGGGCTGGCTTGACCTGGTTTGAGGGGACTGGGGGGTTGACACACCGCAGGGACCCACAACCTGCGAGCCCAAAGCTGAGGCTGCAGGTGTCGGGGAGCTCCTGTGCTCCCCCGAGGCGGGGGTCCCAGGGCTGCCCGTGTGCCCGGGGAGGCAGAGCCTGCATGGCTGGTGGTGCTCTCCAGAAAGCTGGGCAGGGGCTGGAGGGGTTCAGCAATTGCAGCATTTTCTTTTCAAACCCAATAATTAATAGCCATCAGGCCTGAAGGTTTCCTCTTGCCATGTTTGACCTGGTTTTCGCTGCAGGACAAGGCCCTTTGGGGGGGTGGAAGTGGGGGTTGAGTCTGGCTGAACGCTTGGCCCACAGAAAGCCCTGCAGCAGCGAGTCCTGCGGATTAGGAAGGGACATGGCAATCCCTTTTCTCCCCTTGAAGCGTGTTAACAGCCCCTTGGTGGGGAGATAGAGGAGAGCATGCAGGTGGTATCCATCGCATCCGCCTGCCTCCCC